GCACCATCTTCAGTTGGGAACACTTTGCGGCTGACAGACGCTTTGCAATTGCCCACCGGGCATTCCTCAAATTGATAACCGGCGCAAACCCAAAACTATATAGTGTGTGCAGCGGGGCGGACTGGCATCTTACAGAGGCATGAGTTGGCATGAATTACCGCGCACAAAGCGCGCGAGCGCTCCAACGATCGTTGGATGGAATGTTCATCATCGATTTGTGGCCATGGCGCCAATGACCTGCCGGTGCATTGACAGCACGAAATGAGGATGGTGCAGCTCTGGGCGCTGCGGCGCTGTGAGGCGCAATTGGCCGTGGACTGTTGAGCAAGTGGCTTTAGTTGGAAGGGGATTCCCGGTGGTGCATTCTGCGTAGGAAAGTCCAGGGCGCGGATCCCTTTTTTCTTTGATTTTCTATTTGTGCACACCTCCTGATGCAGTGGATGCGGCGCAAAACAACCCATCATCATCTGCCACAGCTGGGAGAGATTTCGATGCAAGGTAGGTAACTGCCTTGTGAACTTCATTAGGAACTGAATGAGCGTCAAATTGCTGACTGACATCAAGAGGGTTTGGGGGCGGGGGCGGAGAGTACGACCCTGAGCGAGGTCTTACGGTGGATGGCCCGCTGGTTACCGAACGTGTCCCAACGAAAACAGTAATTCCCTTGTCAATCCACTGCTTTAGGATGCTCAGATAATGCCACAGGTGCACAGCATCCTTGAGGTTGGCAGATCTGGCGCGATGTCATTGATAACGCCCTGTGAATGGGAGTTGTGTTTTGTTTGGAGTGACGCCCCATGGCGCCTTGAAGAGCGTGCTGTAGATATCATCGCTGGCTCAGGCTCGACGGTAACGACGCGCTATTGGCTATGGAAATTGCCGCCACACGCCGTAGTACAAAGTCAATGCCATCGACTGCAGAATATCTATCTTTTGACTCGTCGCAAGCTTGGAACTGCAGTATCAGAAAGACGAATATAAAAGATGGCAGTTTTTCTTGTTCTTGACATAAAATTGCGAATGTTCCCATGGATCTTTGCCACGCACACCTTGGAAAAGGTGATTTTCTATCGCGATGAGGCAACATGGTGTCCTTCCCCTAGTTTCGTGGTGCCACCCTTGCATCCAACTGCCCCCAAGTGCAGAAGGCCAACAAAAAAGTACGCTCCAATACATTGGCGTCCACGCTATGCCAGAGACGCGGCCACTGCCTTCATCCAAGGTTTTCGCTCCTTTCAACGCTCGCCGCAATCAGCTTGGAGGCTTGGGTGTTGAACATCCGGGTTATTTTGTCTGCATCCTGATCATTGACCACCGTGTTCATCCCGTGACGGGATCCAGGTGACAGTATCCTGCAGCACGCTGAGCCGCATTCCCCTTACAACATTAATTTGAAAAGAAGTGTTGTACTTCTTGCGTACGCCAAAACTTCGCGAAGGATATATTCTGAATATATTAATAAATCTATTTATTTGGGATGGACAAGGGGCATCCAATTTGCAAAATATACCACTTTATGTCGTTGGAGGACAAAGTTTACAGTCACTCCGTGTCACCTTCGATACCTCACTTGTGCAGTCAATATGCAACGAAGCAAGCACAATAACTCTTCACTGACAATTCTGAAGGCATTTTCACCTCCATATTGTTTGTCGCCCAGGCTATCCACCCACCTGTAATGTGGAAATCACGGCACTTGCTTGGCATCCAGAGTTTCCTTCCCACCTGCATGAGCTGTGCTACCGCGTTCATCTTTGCAACATCCTAAGCGAGTGTGCAACCGCCGTCGCCTATCTTGTCCGCCACGTGGGCCGCAACTGTGCATGTTGTTGGGTATCCACGCCCATGCCCGCCGACTTCTTGTGGGCCTGATAACTACCGCGGGCCCCACTTCCGCTGTACTTACCTGCTTTTCAGTTGGCCATTACGTTGTCCCCGTGGTCCCAGGAGCGAGCATCGCTTCCGTAACGTTTCCTCCCTTAAGGGATCATTAAAAGCTTTTGATGATCCAATGTCGGCTGACCGTTGCCGCCCACTGCTTTTAATGTAGCCCAACGTTGGGCAACAGACAGCAATTGGATGGACCGCACAATGACATGCACCCGCGCCGGTCGTCGCTTTTATCTTGTTCGCCGCGTTCTCCATGTTCGCTATCCTGGCCTCCATGGACACTTTTGATTGAGGCGAGCTGCTGTTGTGGATATTGTTGCCCAAGCGGGCGCGCTTGCCTTCACCGTTGTAGTATTGAAGAAGGACATGCAATGCAGCTTGTGAGGTGGCCATCATGGCCTTTTACAAATCTCAGGACGAGTGGCCCCCCTGCGATTGCCGTCCGACCAGGCAGCAGCACAGAATGCAAGAGATGAGCGAGTGCGGTTAGGTTTCATATTCACCTAAAGTCTTGTGTTTCTTTCCCGTGGCTCAAAGCAATTCTGTCTTATGTTTTCACATGCTCGCCAAGTTCAAAGCCATGGATCATTACTGTTGTTTGTGCAGAATAATCAACGAGAATTTTATTCATGGCAGTTTTAAAAAAGAGAGTACGTATGATTCTATTTGCGAACATTCTTATGCACATCGCGAATCGATAAATGACGAACTGGAACATAACAACACCGGAAATAACAATGATCATCGTATATTGCCTTGCCTCGCCTTGCACAGCACTGCACTGTACTGCATTGTATTGTATTGTATTGTATTGTATCATAGAGTTGAACTATTTTGTGTCGCATCAGTTACTACTATTGGCGTTGTTCAATTACTAAGTTCATGAACACTCATCAAGCATTCGTTTGTCAAGATTCATCCGGCGCAAAATGAACGGTGCATATTGAATTGACAATGTAACCACAATCTATCAGTTGAATTCGACAAAAAATGATCAGATGCTCATTAAATGTGTACAAATTTGTACGGCTTTAAAACCATCGCACAATTGATTTGGCTGCGCTTTCGCTGCTTGAAAAATGCTCTGCCTGAAATATCGGCCTGGAAATTTGGCCACGCCCTACTGCAACCAACGCCCGGCGACCCATTTGTCCGGGTCAATCACACGTGGCGTTCCGCGTCAACATCGACGGTAGTTTTGATGTGCCTTAAAGCACATTGCGGAAGTCAAATCCCTGCGCAGGGCACGCGCCAGGCACGTGTGTTGCGGTCAGCGCAACTTGAGGCACCGCTTTGAAATAGTGGTCAATTCCATGAAGCCCGACGCGCGGCCACCTGGCCTGATGAACCATCGTCATGCCGAAATTGTGCACATTACGCCGTTTTGTTGTAAGGTAAGAATGTGGCCTTCAGCTTCCAAATTTTCCCGAGCAAAGCGATGTCCATTATTTGTTCATTGAGACTAATGCATATCGCAAACAAAACCAAGAATCCATCAATTCCCAAATTCCGAGTAGTACATGTTGAAGATAATATATGAAAAGAAGTGCTGTCACCGGTTGGCTTGCTGGGACAAAAGCAGAAGTTGTACTTGCACATCTATATCGAAATGGAATCGATTGGCTTTGACGCTTACCATCATGGACACGCCGTGGAACAGACAATGTGTCTCATGTTCCGGAGATGAATGACTTGGTGGATGTCATCACCTCTCGAACTCCTGAATGGATTGATGTGGTTGTTGTTGGTTGTGTTTGACTTCCAGAAAGGGTTGTTCCACCATTTCGGTCATCTCTTTTGTTGCTTTCAATTTATCAAACGGTGCAGTGTATTCTGCATTGTCTTTGGGATACTGCAATTTGTGCATATCCGCACGCAGTAGTTGTCAAATTCCATGATTGTAAAGGAAAACCCTTTCTTTCTGACTGCTTTGGCGGCACACTCCAGCCATTCCAAAAATGAGCTCATTGGATTTAATTCATGCACATCTCGACTATCAGAAGTGCAAAGCGACCTGCAGAATGGTTGCCATGTTGCGGCAAATCGAACAGCAAGCAGTGCAAGTGCTGCGGCTGAAGGAACATCCCAAATGTCCATTGATTCTTCCTTTCGATGTTTGTGCAACGTCGGCAGCATGGCAAATTTTCTGGGAAAGTTTGTTGGGCCAGAACCACTCGCTAAATTGACAAGATTGTAGCTACGTGCTGGCGTTGTTACACCGAACAACAGACAGACACGGCTACGTCACAGTGAGCGGGCCAGCTCTTCCTTGCACCACAGAGCGAGAAAACCCCCATTACGTATTTCTGAAGTTCCAGCCTTATGACTAGCTGAAATTGGCCAGCAGTGGCGAAAAAAATGAGACAATTAAAACAATTTCATGGGCCACAACTCCTGAGCCAAGGGGCTTCTGTGTGGGAAGCCAGGGCATATCACCACACAGTGCTTCATCGGCCCAAGTGTCGTGAAGCCATGAAGTTGTCTTGAATTGTCCCAGGTTTTGCACCATTTGTGACCAACTTTGCATGGTCAGGTACAGGCTTGCTATTTACGGAGCAACTCGCGTAGCAACGCGTATTTTTACGCATAAATAAGCATAAAAATTAGTTTTTATGCAAAAATAGGCGCAAATATGCGTAAAGATGGGCCCTATGAGCGTAAAGGCAGTGTGTACAGAATCAGGGAGTCTGGGGAGTTGCAGCCAGACGCGCTGGAGTGTGCGGAAAACGACCTTTTACTCGACAACGTCCTTGCCCTTTCCGACGGCGAGGTGGACGCTAAGTTGCAGGTGCTTAAGAGGGCATCATCATGCGACCTGGGTGTGTCGGCAACCCGTAAAACTGTGTAAACATGAACGTAAGCATATGCCATTTCTCTATTGACGCTTTTTTGTGCCTGAAAACTAAAAACGCAAAAATGGTGCCGTACACGTAAACAACAATTCTGGTCACGCGCGGCAGGAGGAGGAATCGTCCCGTTCGGACCCAGGGAGCGCCGGAAACGGTCAGTTCCCTAAAGCCCTTGCCCTTGACGAGAGGGGCACCCCACCCCGCGCTCGCCCAATCCCTCTCCGCTCTCCCCGCCGGCCGCTCACCGGCCCCGCCTCGGCGATGGCCTCCGGCACGGTTCTGGCGGCTATCATCCGCGCCCTGCGCCCCGCCTTCCGTGATAGGCACGACCGGGTCGTCTTCGCGGCGCACGCCTTCTTCCTGTCCCAGGGCTACACCGTCGTGGCCGTGGGCCCGTCCGTGGACGGCTCCTCTCCCCCCCCTACGGCTGCGCCGGAAGCGCCCCTGGACGGCTGGAACGGCCAGCCCGACTGGTACGCCTTCCAGTACGTCGACCCGTCGGGCGCCAAGCCGCCGCTGCTGCTCAAGTGCCTGCGGCTGGGCGGGCAATTGTTGATGAATGCCGTCGTCGTTGCCGATCAATTCGGCGGGCACGAGGCGCCGCGGATCCTGGAACTGGACGCGGGGGAGTGGGGGAGCGACGGCGGCGACGTGGTGGGGGGTTTCAGGGATTTGGACGGGCTGGCGGCCAGGCTGACATCGGCCCTGGGCGAGGGCCCGAAGGGGGCTTTCGCGTCGGCGTCCAACCGCGAGGGCGAGGGCCCCCGGACTTGGCACGAGGGGTTCGATCCCCGCGAGGGGATGCCGCCCCCTCCCGGGGAACTGCCTGTAGACCCACGGGCGCATCCTGGAGGCATGGATGCGGAGTATGATCGCATGGGCGGGGAGTATGATCGCATGAGCTGGGGGAATGATCGGAGGGGGGGAATGGTGGACGGGAGGATGGCCGAGGGCGGGTTTGGATACCCGCAGGGGAGGCTGGAAGGGGGCAGCCGGGCGGGGTCGGCGTTTGAGGGTGGCGCTCCGGCCGGCGCCGGGGGGTATGTGGGAGGGGAGGGGCTGCTGGGATGTGGCGGGCAGCAGGGGGCGGGGCAGCAGAGGGGAAATTCGAGCATGCCGCCCGCTGGCCGTGGGGGCGGCTATGGCGGCGTGTACGGGTGAGGGATGGCTGTGCGGTGAGCTGGGGGTGGAAGGTAATTGGCGATCAGCTATGAACAGGGAACTGACAGGTGCACTGTTTGGAAAGCGCGCAACAGTGTGACTGCTGCTTGCTGGGTGCTCCCGTGAGGCTGATAGTGGTGGGATTGTATTTATCCACAAGACGAAGCAAGTGTAATCACCTCCAGGGTGGCAAATGGCTGCAGTCTCACAAAGGACTTGTTGAGGGAAGGTCACAGGTGGTCGGGCACTGTCCATCTGCCCAAAATGCATGAAGCATTCAAGATTATGTCTTGAAGCCAAAGATACATTCAGAGGTGAGAAAATCCATGATGACAAGATGCTGGCAGTGCCTTTGCTGCTGTGGGAATAGGAGCAGCCCCCAAGTGGGCAATGTGCTGCTGCACACTGCAGCAGCACATCTTGTCTGTGACAGAATGACCCATTGTAAAAAGAACAAATCAATTTGGTTTCAGCATTAATGCGGATTGTGTTGGATTATGGGGGTATTCTGCCTGAACGTCTCCCTGCTCCTCCATTGGTCAAGCTTTGCTGAATCGTCTCAACTGCAGTAGAGAGTGTGCTTGATAATGGGTCCAGTTCTTGGTGGTTGTGTTGGCGTCAGCAGCCCTTGATTCAATCCACTGCAGGAAAGGAAAACAAAGTGCCTGAGCAGTAACCGACACTATCAAGGGCCCCACTGGTACATTAAGTACTAGGTGACGCACTTCTTGCTGCAGGGCCCTGTCTCGATCGCCCAACCAGTCAAAACTTTGGGCGTTCCTTCTTTTGGGACCGTCTCGAGGTGGCAAGGACCCAAATTGCCCCCAACACTATAGTTATTCGTACCTCAGGGGGCCAGCACCCAAATTCGACGCAATCTAATCGATGTAGATTTGGAACAAATAGTTGACATCAGTCAGTCTAGCGGGCGCCACTGCCAACTGTTTTCATTTGCAACCAATGTGAGCCCTGAAATTTCACCAAGCATGTTCAAATTTCACTGGATGTTCCACTTGTAGTTGTCATCCTTCGGCTTCTTGGGATCTTTCTTCCAGCCGACTTATGCGATGGGCAGACAAGTGCACTTTCAATCTATGGCGTCTTTCACCATTCTTGACAATCACACAACCCATGACGTATTTCACGATGGCTCATTGCTTTGCGGCTCATGGCTAAAATACCAATCTCAGAATTTGCACTTCGCTGATTCAGTGAACCTGGATTCAGAATCCAAGCACGAACCCACGCTATTAGGGAAGACATTATTTTAATTCTTGTACGCCTAATGTCAAGTTGACGTTAAGAAAGGGGGGTGGGGGTGGGGGGGTGAGGGGTTCGGGTTCAGCCATTGACGCTAAGAGATTACATAATTGCACAAAAATCAAAATAGTGCGGGAAGATGCACAAGAACGCCCCTGATCAGCGGAAAATGGCTCATAATTTGCTGCCAAATCTCACTCAAATTTTCGATCATCCACATAGTCCTTAGACAGAATCAATTTTCAGGCTTTTGGGTTGCTGCCATCGCTTTTGGCATCCCATTGCTCAAATCACCGCAATCACTATGTTTTGGGTTGTTTCTTCCCTTAAAACTGTTTTGAAGTTGTGTGGCATTGTTAAGTAATATTGCTGAGTCATCCTGGCATCGCAATAAGGATTGATATTAAGGGTGTGGTGGTGGTGGTGGTCTGTCTCAACGTCAATTTGACGTGGAGCGTGCAAAATTCAAAATAGTGTTTTCCCTTCGATCTGGGCGGGAGGGAGAAGAACAAGATAAAGGGCACATGTCCGCTCAGCCTGCTGGCCAATTTTGTGAGACCTCCAGGGTTATCCGTTTGAAACCAAAATGTTGGTGTCGCTGATAATTTGCCCAGTGCAAATCCGTCCTTCAGCCCAGTTTCATGATGATTGTCATGGTGAGGGCGAAAGAACAATTAACAAGTGATTGTGTGACATATAGAGATTTATGGCCAAACATGGTACGGTGAACATGGCGACAGTCTTATGGTGACATGTACATGGAGGAACGGAAAGGGGAAATGGATACCAAACTGGTACATTCATCATGTAACACATCTGGTTACGGTTTTGCTTCCTGTGCTTGGGAGCGACTGAGTGTGGACCAAGCGCGAACGGTCAGCGCGATAATCATGAATGCATCTATCAGCCCAATTACAAAGCAGTGTCTAAAAGACGCGTTGAAAACTGAAAGATGTGGGCCGATCCCTACCACAAGGATGGCGACCACCTCAGAGAACATTCTTCACATCGTAAATGCTCGTGCACGTCAGCACATTGACAGGGAATGTATGAATATTCAGACATTCATTAATTGATGGCGAGTTCCGCAAATATAAATGCATTCGTCCGTTGTTTCCTAAATTGCGTGACTGACATGAGGTTTTGGCTTCAATGACCAGCCTTGTTTGTTTACGAACGTTGAATTGAGGTGCCTCGCTTCGGCAGCACCTGTGCGAGGAAATGGAAGGCTTGGATCCTCACATTAGTGAGGCAGCAGCAGCAGCTCATCAGCCCTAATGGGCAGCTGCACATGGAGGTTGCTTTAACAATAGCAATGGGAGCCACCAGTGATGGCCAGCCATGCAGTGAGATCATGAAACCATGGCTCTGCCCACATTTGGTTGGCACTGGCCAGCGCCAGCCAAAGTGAACTGGAATGCCCACGGGGTTTCCACATGTCTTTCATATATGGCATATGCATTGCAATGTGCGGCAGTGCAATGCCCGAACAATGGCACATTCACTTCGCGCAGCTATTGGACTGGCAGAATGTGTCGTTGTCCGGGTTACCAGTACGATACCGTGAAGCATGCTCAGTGAACACTGTCAGGTATTGTTTTGATGAAATCTCGAGACCAATCACCGCATCATCACACAAACAGTTAAATCTGCTTGTGCGATGGTGATGCGAACTGGAGAGTGTCCGAAATTCTATGATTGATGGGCTGAAATCGAGTTGGCGTTGGACACGGCCTTGAATATTGGGTGCTGCGCTACAACAATAAAGTCGCCAAGCTGATGGAGTACCGTGGGAAGATCTCACCATGGCAGTTGTTCAGAATTCTGATATGTTATTGGGAGTGTACGTTAGGCTTATGTTTGGCTGCGCTGTGGAATATGACTTGGAGAAAGGACTAGCGTCCCTTCCAAAAAGGGGCGAAAGGATACGATATAGATCCAGATGGACGAAGGGTGCGTAAACTGTCCCATACCGCAACTTTCTACGGAGGTTGCATTTTTTTCTTCGAGGCATGGACTGATTTAGGCGTATCGTCATCAAATATGGCGCTTCGGGGCATCCTGCTGCATTTTGGATCGTTGTGTTGCAAATGGGACACGGCTTGGAGAAGGTGCCAAATTTCATGTGGCGCGTCGTCACGATTATCCTCCCCCCGTTCTGGTTGACAATCGAGTCGCTGGTGATGGACCCAACTCATGAACAGCTGATTGGCATTCGGAAGCCTGATGGACAGTTGTTTGTGCTACGTGCAATGTAGGAACCTGGGGCGAGATGGCGACTGGTGCGCGTCTGCCAGATGGCCTCGTGCATGACGACCACTGCAGGGTCAATGTAGATGGCTGCGGAGCTTGACATTGCGCTGAAAGCTGACAATATGATTGTAAGCTAACCAACGGATTGGAACCGAAGAACGAGGCAGGCCGTTGAGTTATCCCCACCGTATCCGTTTGGCGATCAAATGTATCTCCCGTACCCGCTTGCTGCAGACTCATGAGTAATGTTGCGCGCGCTGATGTGGACATGCTTGGCACGCCACAGCGGGAAGGATCCGGGAGGATACGTTAGTCCCTCTGTCTTTTCCGTGAGGACCCCTTTTTCTTCCGCTGACAAGGCCAACGTGAGTCAGTGGATCAGTGGTTTTTAGGGTTTAGGGTGTCAAGACAAGGAGGAATATTCACCGAAAAGATAGAGTGACTAATTTCGTGACGAAGGGTCTGGCCTCTTCCACAGTACTCGGCGGCATTTTGTCATCGCTACCCGATCGCTGTGCAGCGCCCCCGAGAGGGGCCGCGGTGCTGCCAACGCAGGCCCACTCATGCCACGCACTGCAGACGTGTGCCCAGCGCACATGCCGTGTAGACCATCGCCGCCCTTGTGGTAGGTCGCGTGCAGTGGCATATAAACGCCCTGCCGTGGGCGGGGGCACGGAGGCTACCGAAAGCCAAAGCACCGACCATTGCAGAGCTCCAGAGCCGGTTCGAGAGCGCAGCCGACCGTCGTTTTGGACTTGCTGCTCCAGAGCGGAAGCGAGAGCCGCCACCGACGAGCGATCGGTGAGTGGACCGAGCACCGGAAGGCTAGTCCGTTAGGCGGAGCTGATCGACACAAACATCGCCAGGGCGGTTGTCATGCTGGCTCCAACGAGCCTGCCGCTCCGGTGGTGAAGGACGGATGCCGGCGACGGGGTTCGTTGATCCGGTTGGGATATTCCTCGCCGTCTGCCGGCACCATCATCCGTTCGCTGGGAGGCTGCTTTGAATGCAGCTCCGTCGCGGAGCCTGGCAGGAAAATCAACGCCTCCTTGTGAATTGAGCTCAGCAGCGACACGCGCCAGTACCAGTTTGTCGTTGTTCACTCTGCGCGTAATGGACGCAATCAGTCGCGCCACCTAGTAGGAATATCGTGCAATGTGCAGCACTGCACAGCGCGCTGCCGTGAGACGGGGACGAATGGTTGGCCTTCTCTTCGTGTTCGTCTACGAAGGGCAGAGCCCATCGCCTGCAATGTCTCTTTGCTGCGGCCGGGTAGTATTCACTGCATAGCGTCGCTCGCATGCGCTCGTGTGTGCGCGATTCCGGACTTGCTGCGCTGTGCCTTTAGCGCAGTGCGCGAATCCATTCCCACAAGCGCGTTTAGGGAGGCGTGCGCCGGAGCTCGGTGTGCCATTCCAGCACCCTCGCTCGCGCACAGTGTCGCTGTTTCCAGGCGGCGGGGGCCTATGCACCAAAGCCAACAGCGC